TGTTCGATGTTTGAGGTGCTCTTGAACTTCTCCTTTCCATGAAAAAGGAAGGGTTCTTCGGCTGCGGGGCATTTGGCTTGAGAGGAACTCAAAGAGTTTTTTGTGGGGTGGACAGATTTGGGGAGGATCTTTGGGATTTGATTAGATGTAATTCCTCTTTATGGGCAATATTTTTCTAATGCTGCTTACACAAATAAAATGTGTACTTTGTAGTATTTATTCAAGATTTTCTTTAAGTCTCATGCTTAAGTTTGAATGTAACACTGCATTTATGTCTCCACAGTCAACAAGATGGAGGAGATGCAGTTCTTTCAAGAGAAAATAAGAGGAGATTGTCCCAGGTGAAGTTCTAAAATGGCAGTTCCTAGTGAAATATACTATAATTGAAAAGCTATAACTCCAGTAACTATCGATCAGTCTACGAAAAAATCAACAAAGGTGTTTCAAATTTTGAAATGACTTTTTTCCTTTGTACTGCCATTGAGTTCTCTTTCCAATCAAGATCTCTGTCTCATATGATTTGAAACAAGTTTTATTTTGAGTACTGAGTTCTTAATCTTAACTATTTGCAATGTTGTTTTCAATTATAATGGTTATTTAAAATATTCAGTGGTTTCTGTTTCTTATGAAGAAAAGGAGAATAATAAATATATTGAATTTGTTTGATGAACGAATTTTTTCTGCCTTTGCAGTATTTACGCCATATTCCGCAGTTTGTGAAGATTGTTGAAGTTGGTCCAAGAGATGGACTACAAAATGAAAAGCACATTGTACCAACTGCTGTTAAGGTTGAATTAATAAAGATGCTAGTCTCTTCTGGGTTGCGTATTGTTGAAGCCACGAGTTTTGTTTCTCCTAAATGGGTACCTCAGGTAACTTGGCTTGATAGTCAATGAACATGTTGGTTGGTATATTTTTGTGTTCCTAAAACAATTACTTCAACTTTTCATGCACTCTGCCTTCATGTTTGAGTTTCTTGTAGATATACTAATTAATCTCGCTTCCTCATATTTTCCTCAGTTAGCAGATGCAAACGATGTTATGGAGGGAATTCGAAATGTTGAAGGTGCTCGATTTCCTGTGTTGACCCCAAATATTAAGGTATGAACTTCAGTACAGAAATATAAAGGCAGGACTAATCTGGAATGCATTTTGTGATTATTGATGAGATTTTTTGACTGCTTTGTATAGGGTTTTGAAGCGGCTGTTGCAGCTGGAGCAAAGGAAGTAGCTATCTTTGCTTCAGCATCCGAATCCTTTTCAAAGTCAAATATCAATTGCAGCATAGAAGAAAGTCTCCGTCGTTACCGTGAAGTTGCTGTTGCTGCAAGAAAGCAATCACTTCCAGTTCGCGGGTAGGTACTTTGAACCAGAAAACTCAGTTATTATAACATATCTGATATCTGGTTTGATTTCGTATAAACATGTTAGATATGATTTGATCCTCCCCTGGTTTGATATGATTTACTTTTTATATTTTGAAAATGTCTCCTATAAACATGTTAGATATGTATCATGTGTTGTGGGCTGTCCCATTGAAGGAATGGTGCCCCCATCAAATGTAGCATACGTTGCTAAGGAGCTTTACAGCATGGGATGCTCTGAAATTTCCCTTGGCGATACAATTGGTGTTGGTACTCCAGGTAACCTCTTGGAATAGCTTTAGTTTAAAATCACAGTGGATATGAACAGAATCTATCTTCTGAAGGCATTTGGACAAACCGAAGAAAGATTATATCGCACGTTAAATTAGGTGTCTGTATGGTCTATGCCTCTCATTCTAAATTGGTTAACTTATATCATTCATTGCTAGCATGATGTAAGTACTCCATTATTGGATTTCCTTGGTATATCTTTTGTAATATTAGTTATGTATTATGTGATATTTCATATTTATACCGGTGTCTTCATATTCATTAATGGTTTTTCTTCTTATATAAGAGGACCTTTTAATCTCCATAGTTTTTTAATTAGAAGAGTTCCCATGGTGAGCTCAATTTTTCCTAAACAATTATTTAACAATGATTTTTTTAAATATTTGTTTTAACAATCCTTTTTTGACAGTAATTTTTCTAACTCTTCCAGGAGTCATTGGCAACATTCATGTTCTTGTTAACTCTAGTTTTCTCACCTCTGCAGGAACTGTGATTCCAATGCTTGAATCTGTAGTTGATGTTGTTCCAATTGAAAATCTTGCTGTTCATTTCCATGACACTTATGGGCAAGCTCTGTCCAATATCCTACTCTCACTCCAGGTAATCTCTGTTTTTTCCATCTTGGTTTTAATTGGTTGGAACCTACTAGTTTCAAAAAAATATATGCCAATGAGTTGGTAGTTATTGGCTTCTAAGGCTATCTTGAATTTGATTAAGAGAAAAATATGTATGAAGTACCTAATTACAACATATATATATATATCACATACATATATATCTAGTTTGTCAACTTAAGTGTAACGTCCCAAATCCACTGCTAGCAGATACTGTCCTCTTTGGGCTTTTCCTTTCGGGCTTCCCCTCAAGGCTTTAAAATGCGTCTGCTAGGGGAAGGTTTTCACACACTTATAAAGGGTGTTTTGTTCTCCTCCCCAACCAATGTGGGACATCACAATCCACCCCCTTGGGACATCACAATCCACTCTCCTTCGGGGCCCAGCATCCTCGTTGGCACTCGTTCCTTTCTCCAATCGATGTGGGACCTCCTCCAAATCCAATCCTCTTTTAGGGCTCAGCGTCCTTACTGGCACACCACCTCGTGTCTACCCTCCTTCGGGGAATAGCGAGAAGACAGGCACATCGTCTGGTGTCTAGCTCTGATACCATTTGTAACGACCCAGATGTACCGCTAGCAGATATTGTTCTCTTTGGGCTTTCCCTTTCGGGTTTCCCCTCAAGGCTTTAAAACGCGTCTGCTAGGGGAAGGTTTCAACACACTTATAAAGAGTGTTTTGTTCTCCTCCCCAACCAATGTGGGACATCACATTAAAAAAACCCAAAAAGACAAAATGAAGGCCGTGTTGTCCTAGAATTTTCAACATAGAACAACTAAATTTTCTTAATGAAGCGTTGTTCTAAGTTGAGGGCTACCATGCTAAGATTTCATTTGATAACCATTTGATTTTGGTTTTTGAAAATTAAGCTTATGAGTTTTTTCACTCTATTTGATCTAACTGTTGTAATGAAAACGAATCTGTTACATGCAATGGATATAATGATGTTGAAAACGATACAAAAGATGAAGATGAAGAAAAAACAGCTGATCTTTTAACAGATGGGGATTGGCACGGTGGATTGTTCGGTTTCTGGTCTAGGGGGTTGCCCATATGCTAAAGGTGCTTCTGGAAACGTTGCAACTGAAGATGTTGTGTATATGCTGAATGGAATTGGAGTGAAGACCAACGTAGATCTTGAAAAGCTCATGTTGGCTGGAGATTTCATCTCCAAGCACCTGGGGCGTCCTTCCGCTTCAAAAGTAGCAATTGCATTGCAGAAAGTTGCCTCCAAGCCCAATAAATGCACAGCTACTGCATCCAAATTATGAGGTACTTTACACTATATTCTTGCGTCTTTCTTCTAAGTTTTAGTTGCAAAAGTATTTGATTGTGTATGTTGCTCTCATATAACCCGATACGAAAGCATTTATGAGTGAATAACCAAGCAACCTACAGAAAAAGGCCTCGAGTCGAGTAAAATAAGACCAAACAAATAATTACGAAAAGAACTTAGTTAAGACACCCTCAAAGACACGTGAGAGGAAAAACGAGACGAGGCCAAACCTCAAAGGGGTCTCTCAAACCCTCTGAATAATGAAGCATGTTAGCCAATCCAATCATATTGACACAACTTATCATTCTGTTTAGGTGAAATGAACATTTCCTGTTCATCTTATCAAGGGCAGTGTCTGTGAAGAAAACTCTTGCTTTCAATACTTAGTAGCATTGTGAATGCAGAGAATGAAGCGTCGAAGAGATGCACGGTCTCGATGGCAGATGGGCATATGAAGAAATAATGGAGCACGGTCTCGTTAGTATATTGATGAAAACCATTTATCTACACCGATCACCTCCCTCTTTCATCGACTTTCTCATGTTTCAATCTACAGCTTAACATTTCTCTATTTTTTTTTTTTTAACATTCTCTTTAATCCTCTCTCCTCTTCTTCAATTCTCCAATGTTTAAAGATGCCTTTTCAATCAAAATATATAAATTATAGCAAGAAAAAGAATAGTAATGGAATGATTTAATACATTTGGATTTAATGCATACAAAGAGAGATAGGATGTGCATTACCAAAATGGTAATTGTAGCTATGTAGATCAAATTAGTCTAATTATGTTATGTTCTGTAACGATCTAGATCCACTGTTAGTAAATATTGTCTTATTTAGATTTTTCCCTTTCCCTCAAAGCTTTAAAGGATGTTTTGTTCTCTTTTCCAACCGATGAGGGACATCACATGTTCAATCAAGAAGGCTTCCGTTTTTATATTTAACTATTCATTATTTTTATCGAGTTTTGAAGAGATTTTATTTCACAGGCTTTTTATGAGATTTTATTTTATAGTTTTTCTCAAAAAAAAAAAATATATATTTATATAAGTTATAATTCAAATTAGCCATGTTAATAAAGTTTTTGAAAAATATTAACTTTAAGAGTTTTTTTTTTTTTTAATTTTGAAAATATTATTGAAATTTTTTAATGTTAAAAATAAAATACAAAATTCACTATTTTCTATAATTTAACCCAAAAAGAAAATTAAAATAACCTTTGGGTTTGGGTCAACAGTACCTTCTCGGGATTCGGGATTCCAATGATTGGTATTCAAATTGCCAACGTGTTCGACGCGCGTCTTTATATTTCCATTACACGTTACGCTCTGCCGCTCCACAAAACATCCAAGTGGAGGAGAGGAACCACCGTTAGGGATCAATAGCCTTTGCTATGGAAGTTCATCCGACCTCTTCACTCCAGGGTTTGTGCAAAATTCCTTCTCACCTCTCAATCTTCCTTACGTGTTCTGTTTTCTATTTGCTTCCAATGAAAGTCATGCCGATTCGGTAGAATAACTATGCGTTTGATTTTTCTTAATTTTTAGTTTGGTTACTATTCTTCGTCTTGATTTTAATTTTGTGTTCATCGAGTATCATTCTGGTTCAATGTTGCGTCTCTGGATCTAAACCGACTAGTATTTTTAGAGGAATCGATGATGTTGATAAGAACTGTTTTGTGCATTCTCAAATGCAAAATTTTCATACAATTGTCAACATTTTCATTGAAGAGTTCGAGAAATATATTGACAAATCATCCCAAACTCAGTATCTTGTACGTCGGAGTTCATCTGTTAATTTTTTCTGAGAATTTCAATGTCTTCCTTCCTTCCTTCCTCCCCTCGATTTGAAGTTTTCTTTTCTTTTTCACACCAGATGAGAGAGAAGATCCTTCTGTGATTGTTGAGAAAGAGGTGACAGAATCAGTTTCAAGCTCACCACAAGATGTGCAAACTAACAGAAGTAGGGAAAATGTCATGAAGACTGAACCTTCTCAACAGATTGGTATGGATGGAGAAACGAGCATGGAGGCCTCCATGTCTGCTGATGATGTTTTACGGGCTGGAGGGTTTGGTGCGAGGGATGATATTGGCAGTTTTCTTCCTGTTGCAAGTGATTCTACTGACTTTGAGGCTACAATTCGCAGTGCTCGAGCATATGAAGGACCACAGGGGGAGATTTCTAGACCAGGTCTTGGCTGGAAAGAAGCTACAAAAACTGAGTAGTTCTGCTTTGAGCATTTTGTCTGTGTCCAACTTCAGTCATTTGTAAGTACGGTTTGTTTACAAGGTCTCTACAGGATCATGTTTTGTCTTATGTCACTTTAGGAAGATGTATTACTTTGTTGTATCTTTGAATCAATATAGATCACGACCCTTTCCAATGCAATCATCAAGATAGATTTTGAGGGTGAATCTTTCAAAATTATGCTTGATATGATGCATTGGACCTTCGATTGTGATTTTAAATTCTAAACCTCTCGAGGACAAAGAACTCAAAGAGTCGAGACATCGAAAGCTTTTGTTCTGATTAATGGTAATATTACGACAGAATACATTTTAAATTTATTTGAACTTTCATATCATTTTGGCATTCTCTTCTTCTAGGATGCTCGTTTTGTGGTTTGTTTTAGATACAAGATGTTGTACAGGAGTGGCTTTCTGGAAGATTCTTTGTCCCGGGGCAAGGATTGATAATGGGTCATAGGCAGATTTCCTCTCCATCAGTACCCTCCATTTGGAGCCAAAATGAGCTTGCCACTCGTCTTGGGAGCTATAATGAGGCAGATATTGCGTACATCCAGGAAGATCCCTGACACAGTAGTCCAGAATTATTTGGTTTTGGGCTAAAATGTACTCTAAGCTTTGTTTTCCGGTTGAAGTTGGCAGTGCAGAAAATAAGAAACCCACTAGGTAGAAAATTTCTTCGTCCGGTGTGACCACTGATGTTTTATTGTTCCACCTGTACAACCCAAACTGATTTGTATTAGGATGGGGAAATTATAAGTGTAGAGTTTCTGGGACAAATCTATTGAAACAAGTACTTGGATTTGTTAACCGGGTAGATTAGTATGGGACCACTGGTAGAATCTGATAGAATTTTGTCAAACACCTCTGCAGCAAAATCAAGTATTTTGCTTCTTGGGATCATTAGATTCATCCAAGGATGAGGAACCTCCCACAATCCTTTTTCCCTGAGTTTTTTCTCAGATATGTGCACTCTATCCAGAAACTCAACGTAAGGAACTTCCGACTGAAAGAGAGTAGCTGGAATGTACCTCAATTGTGATAGCAACTTCTCAATTCTCTGCACAACCACATAGAGTTTGGAAATGACATTATTTGGTACACACTCTTTTTTAACTGTTTTTTTTGGCTGTTTGTCATGAGCTTGATATCTGATAATGTCTATGGCAATGCTCACCTTGTTCATAGTTTCTGTCTCTTCAGAGTTGAAGTACATGGCCATTTCTAGACAATACAGTGTTGTTCTATCTGAGACGAATTGGCTGGCTTGAACTGGATCTTTGGGATCAAATGAAGATCTCCAATTATTGAGAATGCCAGTTCTATTTATTAGAACAAAGCCTTCAATATAATCAAAGGAGTACTTGGTGGATATCAGATGTTCCTGGTCCTTGGAGAATATGGCGAAGTCTGAATACAAGGTTCTTATCCACTTTACCTGTCAAAAGATGGCGGATTGTGTTTTGCATTACAAGATATCACTAAAAATGTTATATTATGTACCTATTCTGATGGAATGCAGGGTATATTACCATTTTTGGTGCTGATTCTAGAGAAATCCTTGCCCTTGTGATGATGCCAAACTGACCAAGGCCTCCAAGTACACTGTAAAACAGGTCTGCATTCTGCTGCGCTGAACAGGTAACAACCTCGCCCTTTCCTGCACTCAATTGAAACTACATCGGTTTGTCTGCCTTGGCTTTCTCCATTTGGCCAAAATGAAAGAGTCTAGGGGTCAACAGTTTCCATCGTAAAAGGAAATTACAAAAATTCATGTTAACTTGGGTGATCGTTTTCGATTCTTAAGAAGCTTCAGCTTGATAAGATTATCCATGTTTGCATCGAATTGTAAGCAGTACTTGCAAAGCTTCTTCAACAATATTATAAACCACAATATTTACTTATTCAACATAAATAAGAGTCTAAATGTATTTAATATCATTTGATTGTCATGAGATAAAATTTATTATTGAAAAATTTTAAGGTAAATTGGAGAAGTAAAATTAGGACCAACGAAAAATTTTATTTTTCCCATATCAAGGAATTCTGTTTGTGATTGAAATTACTTAGTTTTTCAGTCTCTTCATCAAATTTTATAATGGTCTATATTCATGTTTCATATTTGGTTTATGTTATTGTTGCCCTCAATTTTCTCAACAGTGAGATTTGCATCTAAGTTGGAGGTGGAACATAGAGTGAGCAGTTTATAATAAGTTGGGTCGTGAATTTTTTCTTCTCACCTAAGAGGAATTACAGAGGATCCCTACAGCCAATAACCGAAGTATTAAAATTTTTTGCACTGCTACATTTTATGGCGTTTATGGACTGAGGATTACATCCCAAAATGGAATGAAAAGGGCATCTCCATAATTATACTGTTCTTCTAACAATTAATCCCTCGAACTTCATGTTATTTTGGTGCCTCATTAAAGGTTCTATCTGATGAGAAAGAAAAGTCTCTTTCTAAATAATTATTTCTCCCAACCACTCTGCTCTATTAAATATTTTTGTTCCCTCTATCATACAGTATAATCACAAAATCTATCTTTATTGCGGTCCCTCCCTAATTGCTCGATAGAGAACGTTGGTACAGGGATAATAAATATAATATTTTAAACGGAATATGTGTGAGGGACATACTTAAGAGAGAAAGGTACTGGAATAATGCTAATTTGACATTAAAATTTTTAAGTCAAGTTTTGGGGTCCATGCTAATTAAATTGTGGGGTTTGCGCAATTTGCCTGATGATCAAGTATAGGTGGAAGGTTTATCATCAGTATCCAATTTCGATAATTTGGAAATCAAATTTCCCGTTAACGTGCTTTTGTTTTGTAGTTTTGATTTTTAAATAGGTTCAAGAACTTGAGGAGGTTATGTGAGAGATTTGAACTTCCAATGTTCTATTTGAGGGTAAGCCACCTGAGCAATGATTTGGCTGGAAAATATCATTTTAACTGTTATACTTGGGGAGGTCAGCAAAGTTTATACCCAACTTTGGTGACAGAAAAGAAACTATAAGTTCAAAAGAACTAGTTGTGCAATCACTGAAGGAATGAAAAGCGAGAAAACAAATATGTGATCATTTTACCGTTATTACTTAGTATGGAATTCTAAACAATATATGCAATATACATTATAGAAAACTTGTGAATAAGCGAAGAAAGAGTACCTGTGACAATTTCTAGCTGGTGGACGTTACTGATTTGAGGTCCATGCCTAAAAGCTTGCCCGCTAATACCAGCATTTGATAGAGTACCACCCACAGAAAGATGAAGGTAGTCAGTCCAAGATTTTGGTGTTAAGCCATGTTTAAGCGTTTCGTGTAAGATATTTATCCACAGCTCTCCTCCGGGGACATCCACCCACGGTAAGTTTCCACTGTGAACTTGCATGGCTGGTTCCTTAAGGGACTCCATGTTGATAACTACGCCTCTTAAGGCTTGTGCCTGACCTTGAAGAGAATGGCCGTGACCCCTTGCAGCAACTGTAAGTTCTGTTCCTGAACCCATCTGAAAAATATGCTTTAATGTAATTGAAATATCACGAACTGAATGTGGGTGTAGAACTGCTAAGGGTAGCATGTGATATCTTTTGCCAAAATCTTTAGCTTCTGCTTGATTGTTTTTAAAGCTAAAGTGTCCATCTAGGCTTATTGTTTCCAAGGATGAAAGCAGTTTAGAAGAAGATTGTATAGGAGGGTCACCAGTAGGCTCCCCGAAACATTTGGTGAAACAAAGGTTGGTTCTATAAGTAGCACAGTTTATGAAAAGAATAATGCAAATTTTGAAGAGTAAGATTTTGTTGTGGTTGAGAAAGCTAGGAAATGGTGACCGCATGTTTCTAAATATTGAGCTTCTCCTTGGTTTCCTTTATGAGGCAAAGAAAAAAGAAGTGGTGTAGAAGAGCTCAAGGTAATTGGAGGCGGAAGAAGAGAATTTAAAGAGCTTGTCTGTCTAATGAGCAGTTTCAACTTCGGCTCAGACGTTATTTACTTGCTGTCTTGTCTTTGGGTGGGTGGGCGTCTTTACTACCTCAGCTTTTTTTGGGATCTAATGTAAAGGCGGCATTTGGTTGAGATAACTGTTGCTGATGTCGTTTTTTTCTCTTTTCCCCCTCTTAAGAACAATATATTAGATAAGTGTCTTATTTTTTTTCCCCTAAATAACACTTATCTTAATAAACTCTCGCACTTAATTTAAATACATCAGAAACTGTTTAGAAAATCATATTTGGTTTCTTTAGTTTTTCTTTTGTTCTCTTTGATAGCATTAGAATATTTCATTTATAAGATATCCGTACAACATATTTGGACCATATTATCACTCAGACTGATGTAAACTGCAAAATTGGGTGAAGAATTCAAAGTGGAGACCGCTGTTGCTGAAAACAATAAGTATAAACTTTTATTGAAAGGAGAGAAGCAGGGGATGTTGAAGATTGTCGGGTGAGGCCTATTAAAAGCACTGTAAGTTGTTTTGAATAGTATTGATTCTATTATTATACTTGTTTTGAGAAAAGTCAGGTGACAAAGTGAGATGAGCTGAAGCAAGATAAAGAGTACAGTGGTGAGTTGAAATGGACCATCTGGAGTTCCTTGGGGATGTTTGACGTATGGAGAATGGTCCAAAGTCTTAAAGGTATTTGATCACTGTAAGTAAGGTCATGCGGGTCCCTCAACATGTGATCACCACGAGGAGCCCCACAGGTACAACAATTCCCCTCACTCTCACCTTTACTCTCCAAGTTGAATTTTCAAGAAAATTCCTAATTTCCATTCTGCTTAAAGGAACATGTTTATTTGTGTATTTTACACGCTTTACAGTATCTTACACGAACTCTCTCTAGATTAAGAAGTTTGATTGAAGAACATTAGTAGGGACAGTGATTAGAATTCTGGTATGAAATCTATGCATTCTCTCTCTATGTGCAGCATTTTCTTCTCTAATATATACACCATATACCATGTAGGAGAGAATGGTGGGAACAGATGGGTATGTGAGGCATGTAAATCAATGTCGCACTAACAGAACATAGTACAATTATTGTAGTAGTTGTCTCTTCTGAGGAGGGGTTGTGACAGAAGCTTTAAAGAAATCACCTCGAACACCTCGTGGTAGAAAGCTACTCGGTCGCCCTACCAAGTTTTACAGATTGACATCCATCTTTTTGCAAGCTGCATTGATGTCGATGTGCCTTGGCCATTGGCCTTTTGAATGATAAGGATTCTGAATAGACAATTTCATGAGTTGATTTCCAAGAGGGAGTGAGTTCTGATTTTAGGATAACATTTTAATGCTTGCTGCTTTATGTGTGGTATTATTATCATTATTGTTGTTGAAATCTTAGTCCCTACATCATTTTAGAAAAAGATTCACATTTAATATTTAGATCTGTGGCCCTCCCTCAATAATGCTACCTTTGTTGATGTGTCAAATCTTATCTCGGCTTATCTCGGCCTAGATTCTCCGTTCGATGCCTCGTCCAATAGCTTGCCTTGTTCTTCCTATGAATCATGGCATGGAATTAGTTGAGGCATCAAAATTCTAAACTATATATGTTCGCATTTTTCTCACTTTAATAAAGTTTTACTGAGTGATTGATATTGAAATTTATTTGGATGCTAATATTTGAATTGTTGTCAGGTATATGAATAAGAAATAATTACTCTCAAGTGGTTTTAAGAGGGCTATATAAAACTCTAGATTTGTTTTTTTTTTAAATACATTTATATATATATATAAAAAAAAAAAAAACCCCCATGAAATATTTAAAAAAAAAAAAAAACCCCCATGAAATATTTAAAAAAAAAAAAAAACCCCCATGAAATATTTAAAAAAAAAAAAAAACCCCCATGAAATATTTAAAAAAAAAACAAAATTTCATTTATATGAATATAATATAAATAATAGGTATTTTAACTTAACAAGTTATAAAAAAATTTATTTATTAATTTTAATACTCTTTTTGAATTTTTTTCATTTTTATATTTTTTTTTAGAAATATCTATGAAACATATTCCTTGATATCTGCCTTATGAAAGATGAATTAAAAAAATTCCCTCTAAATATTCTAAGTAAAATTAATAAAATACAACCATGTGAAAATCAGATGATTTACTTATATCATGTCAGTTATATACAACAATGATATATACAACATTGTTACGGCCTTTGATGAATTTGAGGTTAATTTATATAATAACAAATATATTTTAAACGTAAAATAATACGCATGTCCTTTAATTTTGTATAAATATAATTATTTCTTAATCGCTTGGACCATTGAAAATACTATAAATAATGATGGGTAGGTCCCCGTAGTTTATAAAAATTGGTGAACGACCCCATCAGTGTAGCATGGTCACAATCTCCTAGGTTGTAAGAGGAAAAAATGAGAATATAGAGAAGAGAGTACGGAGTTTGTGAGAGATAATTTGTCCTTTGAGGTCCCGCGCGTCAATAAAACTTTTGAATGTTTAAGCATATTTAAAAATGCCAGATAAACCTGTAAATTTTTGTATTTGTGTCGTTTGGTCCTTGAATTTTAAAACGTATCTAATAAATTTGTGATTCACCCATTTGATGTTTTTTAAAATATATTCATACGTTCGAGATGCTAAATTGATTGTTTAGAATTGTATTCTTATGCATTATATGACAATTTGTATTCATAGATATAACCATTGTGCAAATCATTCAGGAGTGACTTGTAGTTACAGTTTAGTAAAAAAAAAAAAAAAAAAAAAAAAAAAGTTTTACCCTTATAATTATTATATCGTCCACTTTTAAGTACCATTGATTTTATAAAGAACCATTTGTTTATGAACATCCTATGAATTTTTACGAGAGTGAATCATATCAATAGTGTTACAAGAATAAAACATCAAATTTTATCCATATGCTATAGAGTATAAACTTTTTGGGTTATTACTTAACATAATGCTTTCATATGTGAGCTACGTACTTTTCAAGATTACACTAATTTCTTCCCCCTACCCAAGGTTATATATGCTAAGCCGTTGTTATCTCTCTCTTGCTTGCTTATATAATGTCTATTTCTAAAATCTCTCTCTACCCTCGTTTTCTAAAACCTTCTTTCAAAATCGAGGCTAGAGGCTCGATCATACGTCGCTTGGCCGTAGGCGACGTAAGAACAAATTGGCTTAGCTCACTTGTCGTTGGAAAGTGAGTGCCGCACAATCGCTAGTCCGCTGCCTTTAAAAGTGCGATTGTGTTTACACTAATTTCTTCGAATATTTTCATATAATTAATAATGAAATATTGTAATTAAAAAATATCAAAATATTAAAATATTAATGATGTGACTTCAGAGCAAAACCAAAACATATTTTTATTTGTCGTTTTTTTATATCAAAGTCGGATGGATCAGGTAGACCTTTTTTTATAGTTCTTCTAGATATAACCAAATTACTGTAGCTCCTCGAGATTAAGAAAAAACCAATTTCACCTACATTTATAATACGTTTGCCTTTACTTAAAACGTGTTTTGGATTTTATAGTACTCTAACAACCTTCGAAAGAAGCACAATCACTTTCATATATGGTTAAATCAATAATAGAAACGTTCATAGATATGATTTCTTTGTCTTTGAAGAATCTTTCGACACTTATCCAAAAAAATATCATTTTATGATAAAAGAACTTTAACTTTCGAGTACACGATTTCTAAAATGGGAATCGAAGTAGATAGAGCCAAAGTTGAACCACCCATTTCGATGAAGGGATTGATGACTTTTTTGGGACGTGCTGGTTCTTGTATTAGGTTTATATATGATTTTTCCTCCCAAGAATGGCTTAATGATTTGTAATAGCCCACGTGAATTAGAGAGAATTCAATCTATTTCGATTCTTGTGTTTACAAAGCAACGAGTATCACATGAATGATATATTCATCAATTAACAGATGGGAGGTACATTATCTGCTAGTGGTGAGCTGAAACCGTTATCGTATGTCTTAATTTTTGAACTCGATTTTATAACATAATAACGGCTTATCAATCTTATGGTACCTAAGAATTATCTTTTTTTTTTTATTTTTTATATAAGGATATTACTTAAGCCCCTTCTTAAGAATCCTTGTAGTTAATCACTAATCAAGTATTAGCCCCTAATTAATTGGGCTTAATTAATTTTATGTGATGTATCAATTTTTAGCTTTGGGCTTTTCTCCATATGTCTGTGGGCCTTAATTACATTCAGGCCCAATTTGAGTTCTACATTTTCTTTTGTTTATTCAGCCCAGCCTCTTGGTTATAGCTGTTGTTCGGTGCGGTTTGTTTTCGATCGGTTTGGTTCATAAGTTTGAGTCGCATATGATCATCGTATAAAAATATTAAGTAGTACTGTGTTCTACCGCACTCTCTTGACATGAGCTGGCGTAATTGGTGTTGAAAAGACCACCACTAATCGATATTGTTCACTTTAGCTCGTTACGTATTGTCATCAATCTCCTCACAGTTTTTAAAATGTATTTTTTAAGGAGAGGTTTCACTCTCGTTCTGATGCTATTTGGAACAGCCCAAACTCGCTATTAGCAGTTAGTTACGTATCACCATCAAACTGCGTCTACATCACACCCTTATCAGAAATGTTTCATTCTCCTCTCCAATTAACGTGAGATCTCACTATGCTCTATGTGGGTTTTACCTCAAGATGAACAAATCGTGCCTCGAGATAAAGATCAAGCTCCTTTCGTTAAGAAAGCTCAATTGCAAATATTGTTAGAAGCACAAATCAAGTTTCATCCTAACTATCCATGCAATAAAGGAAACAACAATTATCTCCATTTATACAAGGAAAGACGTATGTCCAAAACAGACAAAAATCCTACCATTGTAAAGATACTTAAAGCATTTGTTATCCTATCAAATCCACCCACGAGCAAAAATGGATAAACAAAGTGAACATTTTCTATTAACCCGTAACCGAGGTGTAACGGTCGAAGAACCAACTAACACCGAGAAAAAAATCAATATAGTATATAGAGCATAACGAAACTCGAGAATACAGAAATTTGTAGAAAAATGAGTAAAAACAGAAGCACAAAGATGAAACAAGAACAAAAAAAAGAAAAAAAAAGAAAAAAAAAGAAAGGCAATTCTCAAACTTGATTAGACATATTCCTCATAAGATGACCAAAAGGAGACATCATTGAAAAATGATAGCCTTTGCTTAGGAGTGCTGATTGACCTTGTCTTAGCCTTAGCAGACTCTGTGACGGCCATATACGTTGGGAACACTGGCGAGCAGCTTGTGGGCATGCAGCTCTCATAGCCATCGCCTGATGAGCTATTATGCTTCAAATGGCCGAATGATCTTCTTGGCGATGAGTATTGTGAGCTCATATTCACATCACTTACTAAACTTATGTGCACACTTGGCCTCAAACTTCTCCTTGGACTTTCTTCTTCTGTCATTTGGTTGTTTCTTCCTTCCTGAGATGATGCGAAACGACCCGACGTAACGGGAATCCGTGAGTGTTCATGAAAATATTTGCCTATGTTTAAGGTTTTCGAGCAAGTAATAGCTTAGCGGTAATTGACGTGTAGAATGTACTTACTCGGTGTGAAAATGAATATTTCAACATTCTTTCCCTTTTCATCATTGCCTCTTGCTTTCTCAAATGTAAGGCTTCAATGCCCTTTTTGGAGAGACTGCTGCCATCCCAGTTTCTCAGGCTGTTCAAATCAAGCTGATATCATAATAAACAAACCTTAACCGCTCAGTGCTCGGAAATTGTAACGTTCAAACCCACCGCTGGTAGATATTGTCCAAACACGTCTTTCAGAGTTACACAATAGAACTAGTACTCATCCAGATACTATCCTCTTTGGGTTTTCCTAGTTAAGGCATTTTAAAAAACGTAAGGCTGAGGATGATACGTAACGGGACAAAGCGGACAATATCTGTTAGCGGACGGGCTTCATAAAGCTACTGAATTAGAAAGCGTTATTTCTACTTTTGCATACCTTTAGTTCATCCTCCTCAAACTCCTCTTTTGGCTGGATGAACACCTTCTTCCCACAGCTGTTGCAACTTCTTTCTGCAATGAAACTTTTCTTCTGAAACACATTTGAATTCCTTCTTTCCTTGATTATCATTGGTCGGTTCAAAACAGCGTCGATTCGACGTCTCACGGCTCGGCCACGAACTATTGCTTGAAGTTTCACTATTCCCTTCAGTGCTCTCAAGGCCTTCTTTGCCTACCTCGAAATATTAAGATTACGATCGAGTGAGTTTGAAATGACTTTTTAGAATAACAATATCTCTTTCCTTACCAGATATCCCCTGAAATAGCTTTGAATCTTAATGGCGGCCCAGATTCGATCTCTCATAGAGGACAAACAGTAGGAGTCCGAGACAGCCGTAAGGCGGACAACCTCCGCCGCGGCATTGGCAGCTGCAACGGCAGCCTCAGCTGCAGCTGCTGTGGCAGCAGCAACACTCAAAGCCTGTCTCCTCCTCTCAACCGTTGCTTCATTCAGAGCTGTTTGTGGTGGTGGTGGTGGTGCAATCACTTGGCACTTCTTAACCTTGAATCTTTGAGTAACCCATCTCCACTTTCTAGATTTCTAAACATTAAAACCAAACCCAACAAGAATCAAAGCAATTCAAATCTGAAAACAAATTGAAAAACACACAGAAAAAAAAGTAAATGAATCAAACCTTTTCTGATTTAGTTTTTGGGTCAGAACCAAAAAGCCTCTTGACCCAACCAATCCAACACATTGTCTTTGCCATTAGAACACCATGTTTAACTTCTAAGAACAGAGAGATGATTCATCGGATAGCAAGCCATATGTTCGAATCTCGAGCCTGATCCATAAAGGCATAGGAAAAAGAGTGAAGAAAGTGATCTAGGTGTGGGTTGAAGGGGGCTTTTGTGGCATGTTTTGCTGCTTTATCTCACCTCCAACTGTCAAATTCACAACTGCCATGACTAGTTCAAAGTGTTCCTGTTATGGTGGAAGCACTTAATTGATATCAATTTGTATGTAATGAGTCCATATATATGTGGTTCCATTTCCCTAACTTATGCATGTGACACCAATCTTTAATCATCATCATCTATTTGGTCCCATTACCTGCCTCATCTTTATCTCAACCTATACATATATATATATATATATATATATATATGTTCATATTAACTTTTCTTATTCTATTTCTTTCTTTTCCTTTGTTTAATATATTCTCCGAGTCCAATTTCTTTTCATATATATCGTCGTGGCATGAACTCATTTCTCATTTTTCTCGCCCCTACTTGAAATTCTATATTGGTGGACTTCCCTCGAGGCGACACCGAAGGTCTACCTCCTTTGGTAGCTCAGAATCGAAACTTGTAGACCCTGGTTGAAAATTGAGAGAAAATGGATTAGTTAGAGCCTGTCGATCCATTTTACTTAATGATGCATTTTTTTTTTTATAGAGAAAACAGATATTATCCGTTTTAGTCCATTATATATCACCGTTAGTCTCACGATTTTAAAGCGCATTTGTTAGGGAGAGATTTTAAGACCCTTATAAGAGATGTTTAGTTCATCTCTCCAACAAACGTGGGATTTCACAGTCCACCCCATCTGGCTTTTATACCATTTGTAACCGTCCAAAGTCACGCTAATAGATATTGTCCGTCTCACTGTTTTAAAACACGTTGTGAGAGAGAGGTTTACACATTCTTATAAGAAATGTTTCGTTTGCCTCTCTAATCGACGTGAGACCTCATAGTTACATCACGTCAAACCAGCATGTCACGTTATAAAACATAAAAACGGGAAAAAGGTACATGAAAGTGTGGTGCCAATTTAAATCCTTCCTTTGACAAATAATATTGAGTTGTTTTTTCTCTCTTAGAAGTATTCAACAAGCATGCTTCAAAAGCTCCATTTTTTAATTTATTTAATTTATTTTACTATTTTTTCCCTTAAATTGCATATTTTTTTTATAATAATATAATTTCCTCTGATGGGCCTGTGGTTTGCACACCAAGGCCCACCAAATTGGTCCCAATGATCCATTGATGAGGCATGTGAACAGTTCATGACTTGTTCAAAAGAAATAAAGCCTTTTTAAATCTCTTTACCATTCAAATTGTGGCCCAAAACAATGAGACCAAACTAGCTTTTGAGCTGTTCTCATGCCACCTAACCTACAAAAACAACACCAATTTTTTTAAATAATATATGCTTAGATTGCCATTCAAGTTCATGAACCATTTTCTTTTTTGTATAAATATTAATTATTCAGTTGTATAATAATGAAAATTACATCGTGAAAGTCGATATTAACTCGTAATTGGATGATTTATGTTTGAGATTGGATCAGATGTGTGAGATCCCATATGGGGGAACGAGTGCCAGCAAGAAAACGAAAACTGGGCTTCAAAGAAAGGGTGGCGTTGTTAATAAGGGTATGAAAATCTCTTCTTAATAAACGCGTTTTAAAAATCTGGAAGGGTCGGTGAGGAACACTCATGTTCAAAATTGGATGGATTGTTGATGCTAATATTAAAATGGGTTGATAAAGGTATCATGAGTTTGCATTGTTTCAATTGATTCAAATGCTTTTTCTTGCATTCTTTTATTCCATTGCTTTCTTTTGAATTCTTTTATTCCCATTCCCAATTGACTGCTATATTCTATAAAATAAAATGATTAATCAAGATTAATTTGTATATTGAGCTTAACATAATTTAAATGGTTAAGACATGTATCAATTTATATGTTGTTGAGTTTAAAAAAAGAAAAATAAAATGTTTCATTATGTTGCTGAGTGCCACAATCGCACTCTTACGATAGCGGGACAATGATCATGCGACAGTTGTTCTAATCTACAAGAAAATATATGTGAAAATGATTTTAAAAAAATGGAAGAAAGCAACGTTATATGACTAAAAACAAATAAAAGAACATCACGACTTAAGTAGCATAGAATTCAGGGTAGGAAAAAGTGATAACTAGTCATATCCCGCTATAATACATTTTGGGGCATTTTAGCCCTTGCGAGCAAAGACATGATTTTGGTGGACGGTTATACACCCCCATATTGACACAAGAAATAGTAAAGACCTATATAAAATGAAAGCATGTAAGAGGGGTTTGGAACGGGCGCCATGGACAACACGTCCTGGACAAGCATGACTGAGACATCTGATATGCAGCCATAAACAGAACACCTTGGACAAACATGACCGTGACACTAAGCACGAATTACACTGAATGGTAATCATAGAAAAGTCGAGCATTTGACTTTCTCGTATAGATTTTGAAATGTGTAACGTGCTTAAGATTGTGTTTCGAGAATCGATGAAGTGAAGGTGATTGGACTATGTAATTGAGCATCCTCCATCCTAATCCAAGACTTGAGGGAGAAGGGTTGATGGGTGATTTGGATGATCCTAGCACCTCTTGCCCAGTTTCCATAGCCACCATAGCCACTATGTCTTGCAAAGCACAGCCAAAGCTTATTTGTAGTGTTGTGAGGGCTGTGAGGGCAGCACCAATCCAATCCATGGTTGTGTCCTACAAACACTGCCTACAAACGCATCAAATCCAACGTATCTCGAATCAATTTTAAAAACTCGACCACTTGAATGTAATCTAAATCAAATTTCAAGGACTAAAATAGAACAAATTTAGGTTTATTTCTTAATTATAATACCTTGACAGAAGGTCTTTGTTGAAGTAGACTCATGATGCCAAATTCAGCTTGTTGAGCAGCAACTTTCTCCATGTTAATTGAACCAACACAAGGCTTTTCTGTGAAAGATGGAGCCACCTCCTCGTATGCTCCACTTGGTATGTGCCAAAAAACAATCTCTGGTATGCTGTTCTTCCCAATGGATCACAACCAAAAATAAGCACAAAAACAATCCAAATATGGTCTATTTTAAACTTAAGTTCGTATAGGTTTACATTATCTCAAACGCTTCATATATAAGAGCTATATAAACAAAGACCAAACAAAGTATAGAGACCTTTCAACATAATCCCTTGTGGGTTTGATTCCAATTTCATTAAAAAGACTCTACTTATGTACTCACGATCTTCTATTTATCTAGTCAACGTGCAATCTTTGGTGAAACCAAAAGCACTGAAACCTTGTGAGTTTATATCTAAAGTGAACAATATCATATCTGTAACAGCCTAAGCCCAGGGCTAATAGATATTGTTCGTTTAGGCCCGTTACATATAGTCGTCAGCTTCAGGATTTTAAAATGCGTCTACTAGGGAGAAGTTTCCACATCCTTATAAGGAATGTTTCGTTTCCCTCTCCAACCGATGTGAGATCTCACAATCCACCTCTATGGGGGCCTAACGTCCTCGTTGGCACACTGCTCAAAACCGGGCTTTGATACCATTTGTAACAGTTCAAGCTCAACAATAGCAGATATTATCCGTTTTGGCCTGTTACGTATCGTCGTCAATATTATTAAACGTGTCTACTAGGGAGAGGTTTCTACACCCTTTTATAAGGAATGTTTCGTTCCTCACTAACCGAGATGGGATCTCATAATATCACTGAAGAGAGACAATCGTTTCTATCGATTTCCAAACCTACACCCTAAACAACATCTTAACTCTAACTGATACGAGATTATATTTGCATTATTCGGGGATCGAGAACTAACCATACCTAGAATTAGGATTGATTTGTTGTGCTGTATGCCGAAACCATTCTACTTGAGCAGTGGATATTACTTCTGGATAAGAACCACCACCAGAGTCTAAGAAATACAAGTTCATTACTGGCGATTGGCAATCGTCAAAGAATGGAGAGATTTGGACAAAATAGTTGGATACACTTGGCCAGAGATGTTTTGGACCATTTCTAGATTGTGATAGCTTGCTATTCTTCACCTCATTTTTCATCAAATCCAACCGTTGTGTGCCTCTAAACTCACATTCTTCTTTTAATCCTTAACCAGAAAACACAAAAACACAATGTTTTGAACAAAAACATCAATCTAATAATGTAGAGTTGGCTATATATATATTCACCTGAACACGAGGTAGCATCGTCCCGGCAACGGTGTGGAGGAATTCCGGTAGCAGAAAACCAGTCGATCGGCCAAGAAAACGGCGCGTCGTCGTGATTTCCAAACACACTGGCCCATGGAATACCCCTGGCTTTTGTTGGAGAGATTGCCTGATCCCAATACAAACTTGCATTGGCTGTTGGAATGTTGTTTGCTGTAATCACATCTCCAAGGTATACTACCAAATCTATGATCACAATATCACTTATTACTTGCTTTCTAAAATCCAAATGCATCGATACAACTAGTCAAATCTTTTCTATTTCGTCTTAAAGCTAAACATATGTCTTAGAACAAATATTTTCGGATAAGGAATACAATGAAATGAATCTTAGGAATGTTTTAATCTTAGCAACAAATATTTTCGTCTAAAATCTTAGGAATGTTTCAATCGAGTTTAAGATAAGGAATGCAATGAACCTGGATTCTCAAGGTCGAGGACAGTGGACATGACTCGAGAGGAATTATCGTCTTGAAGAGGGCCCCAATCAGTCCAGGCATCCTCCCCAAAATGCAGGTCTGCAAAGAGGACGATCTTGAAGGTGGGGGAGTCTGAGCGGAAGCGGAGAACGGTGTCGGGCGCCGTGGCGGAGGTCAGGCAGCTGATGCAGGTGAAGAAGGATAAGAATATTGCGAGTTTCCCGATGAAGGGCGTCTGCGTCATCGTGTTACTCCTCAACAGAGCTTCCTTCCAAAGAGCTTTATATTGTAAGGTAAGGTTTATAGGGGTCCCTCTCAGATGGTTGCTGTGATATAAATGATGCAAATCCGTATCTTACCCAATTCTAAATGCATCTACTGGGAGAAGTTTCTACGCCATAAATGTTTAGTTTTCCTCTACAACGTGAGATCTCATAATCCATCCACACACAGTTGCGTATCTGAATCTAATAACATTGGTAACAATTTTCAGACCTACTACTATATTGTCCGACCCCCGCCCTTAACCCATTAACGAAAAAGAAAAAATAAAAAGATAAGGCCATTCCATTTCGACAAAAGACCCACACCCAAGTTCCATAGCTTTGGGTCCGCTATCCCGATCATGATTTTCCTACCCCCAGAGGGAAAAGTCCTTCCCTTTTTGGCCGGTTGTGGGCGAGGAGGGATTCGAACCTTTTTGCCGGTTACATATCATCCTCAACATCACAGTTTTAAAACGCCTCTATTAGTGAGAGGTTTCAATGTCTATATAAGAAATGTTTCATTCCTCTCTCCTGCTGAAATTGAGCGAGCACAAAAAAAAAAAAAAAAAAAAA